ATGCAAAAGGTGTTGATACGTCCTATCCACATAGAAATCTTACCCTCTTCCACACATTACCGGTGGATGCTACAGCCGCTATCACTTTGGCTGCAGGATGGGAATGAAGGTCGAGGAGGCAGGGAAGAAAAGGTTATTCGCTATTGGCTTACCCTTATATCAGGCCTTGGTACGGCCTATACACGATGGATGAAGGTTTTGGCAAGGTTAAGAATGGATGGTACCTATAATCAGACCCAACCGTTGCAGTACTTGAGAAGAAAGAAAAAATTTATCTCTTTTTATCTTAAGGCTGCTACCGATTCCTTATCTGTTATCCTGACGTCCTGTATGCAGGGTTGTTCGGAAATCCCTTTGCAACTTCCTGGACGTTCATACTTTGTTCTGTAGTCTTTCAATTACCATATAGTTTCTATAATTATAATAAAGGCTATAGGTCATCGGTTGTGACGTTTACGAAGGGTCAACCCCTCGGATTTTTTAGTTCTTGGCCTCTATTCACACTTAAACATCATATGCTTGTGTGGATAGCTACTGAAAGGGTGTATGGCACGACGAAGCTTTGCGACTATGCCATTCTTGGCGACGGTGATCGCCGACGAGAAGGTGACGGCCACTTAGCATAATATATAGTTTCAGTGTACTATAACTATATCTAAAGAAAAGTCTCCCATTTGAAAGATTATTTATTATAAGTCATGTTTTGGAGTTTGCCAAATCATTTTTGAGCGACGAAGTTACTAGGGATTTCTCTCCAGTGTCTGCTAAGATGCTCCGGTCTTTGGTTGACGCTATTATGTGGAAAAGACCCCGATTTTCTCAAAGATTAGAGATGTCACTGGTACTATCTTTCTGTCTTTGACCTATCGATTGAGGGGTGCTTCTTATCGTATCTGTGGTGCGCCCTATCGCCCTAAATCTAAGCGATGGAAGCCTCACTATCTTTGTATGCTTTCGCCGCCCGTTATCATTAAAACTGTGGTTAGGATTTCCAGATTTGGGAGTGTTAACGCCGAGTGTCGCGCGGGCCTTCATTCTTGAAAGGGCTAAAAGTAGCGCCTTCGCTTTGTTTGTAATGAAAAGGAAAGAGAAGATCTTCGGATATTTTTTCCAGGGGAGGACTTTCTTGATCGCCTCATTCTTCAACCATGGGTTAAGATGTGGCTAAAGTCTCTCCGATGGTAGCGTATATTACGCTCGAGGTCCCTCGAGCCTCCTCTTGTACCAATGTCTATATTCCGTTCTAGGAATAAGGTCAATCTCTTTTCCGGTATGTGGAGTTTTCTTTCGTTGTTACGACAGGCTGAGAGCAGTGCCCGCTCCCTTGTATTTGGGGGAGTTGGACGGCCGTTCCGCTCTTCGGGACTTTCTTTATTCTTTTTTCGTTAAAACAAATACAACTGAAAAAGACTACTAGGAATTTAGACTGACGGCGTACCTGAGCACTCATGCCTGCAGACCCCTCGATTCTCTTTCTATGACTACTCTGGAAAAGAAAGTCTCACTACTCAATGGCTTTCGATCTTCTTTCCCCCATATAGATATTGAATAGAACGAGTTCGCTTCATGATTTCGTGACATACCAAATAAGGGATTGTTAGAAGAAAGCTCCTATAGTGGACAGCTATAGCCCTTTGTATAGGTTGGGTGCTTGTTTAAGGCCATAAAGTGCTCGCTTGAGGCGGCAAACAGAGATAGAATGATTTTTGAAGATGAATTATCGGCACCTTGAACTGTACTATCGGAACTGTGCTCTGAAGATTGATTTAAAGTAACCCAGTCAGATGTCTCAGAAAGGGTAGTGATCTCCCCCTGAAAAGTATCACGACCATAAAGAGAAGAAAAGGGAGATTGCATGTTGATAACAGAAAATGGCAATCTGTTGATTAAATACACTGTAGTAGTGAATGCTTCAACCCATAGATGCTTTGGTACTCCATTATTTATCATCAAAGTCAAAGCCATTTCAACTATAACTATATGTCGGTCTTTTCTTTCGGACACCCCATTCTGCAGCGGAGTATGAACACACGACAGCTCACGTTTGATTCCTATCTTCAGGAGCATGAAATCAAAGACCCTTGACACGTATTCTCCGCCGGAGTTCAGACCTCAACCTCTTGATCTGGAGATTTGACTTATTTTCCAAACTTTCTATATATTAAACTTAGAAAGAGCTTAGGACTTCTCTCTAAGTAAAGAAAGCCAGATCTATCTACTGTAGTCATCCACTTATAATAGTAAGTAAAGTACCTTGCACCTATGAATGACTGCACTCGAGTAGGACCCCTTAATTAAATTCAAGTAGTTGTCTGTGATATATCCTTAAATCAGCCGTAGGTCAAATCACAAGTGGACACTAACGAATGAATCAATCCAAAGAAAGGCACACTTTTTTGGATTCTTATGTTTAATCCAGGAGCATACAATTGCCAACTGTAAACAATCACATGAATTGTTCAACCCATCTGAATGAAATGCAGGAATATACCCTAGACAATGGAAGAAGTCTTGCACTGTGTGTTGTGTATGTCTCAGGCGACGGCGGGTCCCATTCCTTATCCTAATGAAGCAGCTGAAAAAAAGGAATGTAGAGAAGAATATCCGTATAATAAAGCTTTCCCAACCGGCCAACGATCCTTCCCGTGCGCTGATCGTGGATAAGACACTCAGAAGAAGAAAAGATGAGACGAAGATGGTTAGCTGCAAGGTGACTGACAGAAAACAAGTAGTTTTTAGGAGGAAAATGGAATCTATCATGAAGAATCCGGGATGAAGACATAGACCCACAGTGTGAAAGAGGTAAGAGAGTGCCATCTGCAATGTTAACAGAATCTTTGATAGGTAAAGGAGGCAGACAAAAAAGCTAAACATCTTTTTTCTTTCGCGCGAGAAGGAAAGCACTTTTGGGGGCTGACGGTACTCCTTTGGATGGTTTAACGCGACTAGCAGACCACGTCGTGCTCAATCAAATAATGGACACTGACTACGATTTGGATTGTCTCCCCGGCTCAATGGAAAGACAACCCCGTTCTACACTTCATCAAGACGAAAATCATGCCTTGTCTATTCCTCCAAATACCATTTGCCTTTTCCTCAGCCGACCAGCAAAACAACGAATTCAACCGCAGATACCCTTTAGCTAGCACATGCTAAAAAGAACAAGTAAATACCCGTCTCGTGCTTGACTCTATCTGTAAGACAGGTGTGTGCAGCCACTTAGTGAGGAGACAAGACCGGAGAGAAGAAATTCTCGCGAATAAGATATAAGACTCAAACTTATCGTATACAACTCTTATCTACGACAAGCCTTGGCTCTTCTCCTTATGGACTCTTCGCTCTATCTGTCGGTGCTCTAGCTGTCCGAAAGCCAGGAGCAGCTACTGGCCTGGACTGATTGTAAAGAAAGAAGCCAAGAGGCCGCTAGAGAAAGGGTTCCGTTTTCGAGTCTGTTTCCGATTCTTCCGACCTTGAATCTAGGTTTCCCCTAATGCCTCCTTGCTGCTTTCAAAGCTACACTTGCTTCCTTCCTTCATAAGCTAATAAGAGATTCTATTATTCTACACTGACTTTACTATGCTTCTTATTAGTTATAGTAACTATACCCTCTGGGTTGAATTGCCACAACAGGGGCCTTCCTCAAGGGAGGAGTTCATACCCGGAGAAAGAAAGCAGACTACTAAATCTACTATTTAAACATATTGTTTGCACTAGTCTCATAGCCATCTCTTTTAACATAACCTTTCGGCGTCTTCCTTTATGCTTCCCTCAAATCAGTACCCCCTCGGTCGTCCCTTTATTCAATATCCGTCATGCTAAGAATAGGGGGTTTAGGAAGAATACGGGCTTTGTTTCGGGGTTTTCAGGTGTCGAACTCTTTTATCTTCGCCAAGATGCTTTCTCAGCGATCTTTTCTCATCCTGAAGTTGATCTCCTGTCCTTTACTGACCCACCCCAATCAGCATTACTATAGATTTCAACTCTCCCATGGCCATGATTAGTATAGATCATACCTTTGCCAAGATAACCTTTGAGGTACCTCAAGATCCTGTATACTACATGTAGGTGTGCTTGACAAGGAGCATGCATATACTGGCTTACCAACCCCACAGCATAGGTAATGTCAGGTCTAGTGATAGTAAGATATCTAAGTTTTCCCACAAGCCTCTGATGCCTGCATCATCCAAGGGTTCTTTTCTCTTTTCTTCAAGCTTATGATTTTCTTCTATTGGGCTAATTGCGGCCTTGCAACCTAACATCCCTGTTTTCTTCAAATCAAGGACATACTTCTTTTGAGAGATGGCTCTACTTCTTATAGATCTCGAAAACCTCTGTGTCCAAGAAGTACCTTAGCATGCCAAGTTTATGTCGAAGGTGCGGCTCAGGTAAGCCTTCAATCTTGCAATCTCATCAACATCATCACCAGTGACCACAATATTATAAACATTTACTATGATCCGGCTCACTTTCTCACCCTTTATTACGAAATGTGTGTGATCAGAAGCACACCTTTTGTAGCCAAACTAAACTATGGCCTTACTGAACTTCTCAAACCACGCCCTCGGGGATTGCTTCAATCCATACAGGGCTTTCTTCAATCTGCATACTTTATGTGACTCCCCTTTCATTCCATATCCGGGTGCTATCTCTATATACACCTCCTCGTGCGAGTCCCCATGCAAGAAGGCATTTTTCACATCTAACTGATACAATGGCCATGATCTCTGTGTAGCCAAGGAAAGTAAGATTCTAATAGAAATGACCTTTGCCTCTGTTGAAAGGGTCTCGCCATAGTCTATTCCTTTGGTTTGTGTGAATCCTCTTGCCACTAACCTTGCTTTATATCTCTCAATCTCCCCACTTGGCTGGAATTTCACTGTGTATACCCATTTACATTTAGATCCCACAGTCTTCTTTCCAGGAGGTAAATCAACAATCTCCCATGTCTCATTCTTCTCAAGTGCACTCATCTCCTCCATCATCGCCCTCTTCCAGTGAGG